ATATATATATATATATATATATATATAAAAATATATTTTACTGGTGTATTTGTAACACGTGACATTTAAGGACTAGAAGGAACACAGTCAGGTGATAGTAGCAAAGGTTCATAATGTGAAAGCCAGGTCTCTGTCCCAACCAGGAATCGGGAGGACAACTCAGAAGCTGAAGCCCAGGTTGTTGACATTCATGGGCGACCGTGCAGCTGGCCAGGGAGGGGGTGATCTTGCTTGTCCGTCAGTCCCAGTCTCAGAATGTTAAGGACAAGTTTGACTGGCCATCAAAACCTGAGCACCAGGGATGTGACCGTCTCTGCAGTAGCCGTGAGGACTGAAGGAAAGACAAATTCTACTAGAAGAGGGATGCTGGGCACCCAGTCACAGGGAGCAGGAGGGTCCATGAGGCAGGGTCCTATCATGACAGCCTGGGGCCGTAGGGATGCCGGGACTCCATTCATCCCAGAGGGAAAGCTGATAGTGAGTAGGATGGCCAGATTTAACAAATACAAGTACAGGATGCCCGGTTAAATTCTAATTTCGTGTAAATGGTGAGTAATGTTTAGCTTAAGTCTATCCCGTGAGATATTTAAGACATATTTACACTAAAAATTATTTGGTGGTTTATCTGAAATTCAAATTTAGCTGGGTGCCCTGTAGTTCTTCTAGCTACCCTTTATGTGAGCCACTGGACATGCTTTAGAGGTCAGCTTATCCCGTAACATGTACTCATTGAGTGCCTACCATGGACCCAGAATTGTTCCCCTTGAACACTAACTCTCCCCCCGTTTTACTCCCCATGCCAAAACCCCCAATCCACCTGCCCTAGCCTCACTCCCTTCCCCCCACCCAACAACCCATCGTACATCCTGTCAACTCATCACCCAAAATGTGCCATAATCATCTTGCTTTCTTTGTATCCATGGCGATGTCCTAGACCAAGCCTCAGCCGTTACCACCTTCCATTGTGAAAGCATCCCGGGAACTGGTGCCTCCGTCACCTCCTTCCAATGCAATCTTCAAGGGACAGCCTAAGTGATCTTAAAATATAATTCAGATCATGACTTAGTGCTGCTTAAAATGCTCAAAACCCTTCAATGCTTCCTTATGCTCTTAGTATAAATCTAAACTCCTCCACATGGCCCACAAGCCCTGGTAAACTGCCTCACCCTCCACCAGTTCCCAGCTTGGTCCCCCATCATTTGGGCCCTTCCTCCCGTTTCTCCAACCTGCCAACAATCGGGGTCCTCAACCCTGTGTTTCTTCTGTTTCTCTGATTCATTCCTTGTAAACTCAGGGCTCCAATGTTTTGGGTTGATTATGTAACTTGGACCACTGTGAAGTGGTTGAAAGTCTCCTATTGAACAATGTGTTTTAAAAATCCCCCTCCAGGAGTGCCTGGGTGGGTGAGTCCATTAAGCTTCCGACTTCAGCTCAGGTCACGATCTCACGGTTCGTGAGTTCAAGCCCCGTGTCGGGCTCTGTGCTAACAGCGTGGAGCCTGCTTGGGATTCTCTCTCTCTCCCCTTCTCTCTGCCCCTCCTCCACTCTCCCTATCTCAAAAGTAGATAAAATAAGCATTTGAAAAAATAAAAAAATAAAATCCTCATCCAACTACTAGGACCTCTAAATCTGGATGGATTTAGAGAAGCCACTCTGTACCATGGGTCTCAGTCTCCTCCTTTGAGTCTCTGTAAGTTTCCATTTTGTGGTTCTGGAAGAATCCTTCTATGCGGACTGGGCAGGAGGGTGAGCTGTGGGAGGACTGGACACAATGTGCAGCCCAGCGGACTGCCAAGAAATATTTTTCATCCCTGATTCGCAATGCAAATTGATATTTCACCTTATCTGATGAAGCCTGACATAGAAATTTGCACATGGAATGTTCTTATGAGGTTGATTTGAGGGGAAAGGGCAGTGTGGAAGAGAAAGAAAAACCCATGATTTAGATTAAAACATGAAACTATGTAAGTTGCAAGAACTATTAAGAAATGGGTTATTGAGGGGCGCCTGGGTGGCTCAGTTGGTTAAGCATCTGACTTCGGCTCAGGTCATGATCTTGTGGTTCGTAAGTTCAAGCCCTGTGTCGGGCTCTGTGCAGACAGCTCGGAGCCTGGAACCTACTTCTGGTTCTGTGTCTCTCTCTCTGCCCCTTCCCTGCTTGCACTCTCTTTCTCTCTCTCTCTCAAAAATAAATAAGCATTAAAAAAATAATTTAAAAAAATCAAAGAAATGGGTTACTGAAGGTCTTGATGGAATCCCAGAGACAACCTGACGCTGTCTCTACAAAATAAAAGAAAGACATTTGAATTTTTATTTTGTTTCAATTAAGTATAAATGATAACATTTGGCCAGCTAAAGCATTTTCAAGGAAGTCAAATCACTGTAAAAATAAGCAGTAACTTTTCAGATGCTTTATCTGAGCTCTTTGGAACATAGCCGAGCCAGCATCTGGGGCTTAGATGTTTTATGTAGCTCTTAAGTTTCACCCATCCAATCTGGATTTTTTTCTTTCACAGGATGATTCTGAGATCCCGTTTACTGAGGAGGATTATCGAAGAAGAAAGCAACATCCTAATTTTCTGGACCACATCAATGCCGAAAAAATGGTTCTCAAATTTGGAAAAAATGTAGGTCTGGAGTAGTAAGGCATTTAGGGTAAGAGAAGTCCTTTCTGAGGCAGCGCTCAACGCACGTGGCCGGGACTGTTCTCCGTGCCTTACGGACGTCATCTCAGCTCGTTAAACGCCTCTTTCCTTGTCCTCACACCCACAGGTCTCTGAGCTTCAGGCTCATCCCAAGATGAGCCTTACTTCTGGTTCTGGCTTTGGTCCAGTCCACTAAGTTGAGAGCCTTGTGTTAGGCCCCAGCAGAGCTCAAGCCCTTATCCACTAAGGTGTGGGTCCAAAGAGTCCCTTAGCCCAGAAGAGGCAAATAACTCAGAGTTGGAGTGGGGAAGAGGGGAGCCACATTTCCCCTTTTTCCAGAATCTATCTCATTTGTTTCTTATAACCGAAAAGTGCCCATTAACCTTCCCTTACAAATAAGGCGGAGAGGACATCCGGCAGTTAAATAAGTGGCTCAAGTTCACACAACTGGGATTTGCTGAGCACCGTTCTGCGCGCACAATTCTTGGCCTTGTCTGATCCACTCCTTACAACAACGGTCTTGAATCTGTACATCATTATCCCCATTTCCCGGATGCGGGCACTTCAGGAAAGAGGCATCAAGTGGTACAGCTGTGGTTCAGAACTAGATCCATCAGACTGTGGGGTTTCTTTAATTTTTCTTGATTTCAAAGCTCAGTCTTGCAGTAGAGTTGATCTTGACACAGGCCTGGCCACCAGTTATTAAGATCGACCCATAGCTGAGAAACTCTTGTAAATAATAACACTTGTTAGCCTTCTGTTGCAGCAAAATTTATCATTTGGATACTATACAACTATACTATACTATACTATACTATATACTATATATATATAATATATATATATACTATATATATATACTATATATATATATATACTATATATATATAT